ATTTACCTCGGCTGCTGGTTTGAATAACAAATCATTCATTTAACATGCAAATTTCTAGGATTTTTTTTTTAATGTTGCCTTGGTACAGTTTTCTGCTTACAGACTACCAGTCATTTGCATCACAGTTATCATAGACCACTGTCTATGACAACACAGCATCACCAAATGAGACACTGGGTGGCCTACTACCGATTTGCTGTTTTGCTCAGTGTTTCAGAATTATCAGGTGTTTGTGAATCCCATCTGTGCTTATGATAATCATCACCTACATATTTTCATCACACATCCCAAGGCTGAAAGATCATCTGCCCTGACCTTTGAACAGGGCAACACAATGACATCAATTTATCTCTACTTTTGGTGTGAGCAGTTTCTTTAGGAGCACTTTGATTCTTGGCTAATATATATGCATATGTGTATGTCATTTTCAAGTAAATTTTACACTTGAAGGTGCCATAATAATTATTTATTGGGTTGTTTTATTCAATTTTCTCTGCTATATTTTTCTATATTTAAAAATTTTTTATTCTTCTGAAGTTTTAATTGAAATGAAATAACAATTGGGAGCTGATAATAACCTTTATTAAAGGATGTTAGAATTATACTTTGAAGCTCTTTGCAAAGAGAATGAAAAATTACTTTATAGAGTTTCTAGACTATATTTACTTTACACATAAGACAACGCCTTCTATTTTCTTCTCCCTGTTTATGCTACAAACTCCGTCTGGGCTTTGAAACACAGACCCAGAATCCATGTGCCAAAAAAAAAGTATAGGAAAAAGGACAAGGCAACATCCATTAAAATGCCTTTTATATCCTTTTTTTAATTTTCAAATGGACATTATATTAATATTATTACTGAAATAATCAGCAAAAGTGTTAACAAACTTAAAACTTAAGCACTGTTGTACAATTACATTATACCCCTGCTTTGTCCAGCAAATCCTAATTCTAAATTAGCAATACATCCTTTTAGAGAGAATATTACCATTGCTGCTATTAATTTATCAGTCCCATCTGTGCTTACAAAGATACAGAATGGAGCTTAAATTAACTAGTCTTTGGAGGAACTTTTTAAATAACCCCTTTTCCTCTGCACAGCCTTACTGACCTAGCCAAAGGCATGGCATTTCTTTTCCAGGAGCCCCCTGAATTATTTACTCTTCATTTCAGCAACAAAGGAGAAAGGTGCTACTAGAGCCAACCTTATCTTTGCCAGGAGACAACTATAGCAAAGCACCTGAGATATCTCTGAACAATATTTGCTCTACCATTTCCATTCTTTCCCTTCCACAGAAGAGAATATCTATGAAGGCACAGTTATCACATATTTTTACAGTAGTTTTTCCCCTGCAGTTTTCAGTTATCTGAGGATTGACACCTGAAGATTCTCACAATGTTGATTATGGGTATTCTCACATTTTAAATTATTTATCTATTATTTTAATTTTTTTTTGTGAGTTGAAAAACAATCTGCATCTTGTGCTTTGCATAGTTTAAGGAGCAGGTGCATTAGCCTCCTTATATAAAGACCTTGTTATGAGAAAAATTCTACTGCTGTGACCCCCTCCTTGAGCCCAGGAAAATGACAATAGGCCGTATAATCTTGTCAGCACCTTCACATGTAGACGCAGAACAGCCAGAATTTTGACAGCCAATGAAAAGCTTGCACTGAAAAAGGCCTAGGCGAAGGACACAGACTACATCCCTTTGAAAAATGTCTAATTGTGAATTAAACTGAAATGGGAGGAGAGGGAGCAAATCACAACGACACAATCACATTTGCTTGGGAGAACAGCCCACGTTTGAGTGTGAATATTCACTGTCCCTAGAGCCCTTAGTTCAAATCAATGCAGTGGTGGCCTTCCTCCTCGAAGCTGTGGCTTACTCGTGTATTTACTTTGTATATTTCAGTCTGGTCCTTAAAAACTTGGCTAGGCATATTTTAAAAGTTTAATACTCAAAAATTAGGAAAAGCCAAAGTTTGGTTTTAAAATGCATTCTTAACATACTTACTGTGCCAAGAGCACTACCAAGCACTACCAATGACTGCATAACCCCCCTCATAAAATCAGTTTAAATCCTTTCTGGCACAATGCTTATATAGAATTTCAAGTAAAAGTTTACAAGCAGTGTCACCTATTACTCAACTCCTTCTAACCCTCCCATAAGCTGGAGCTGCCCAGGCCTGTTATTTCCAGTCCCAGCTCTTTCAAGCTAAGATGAATGCTGTCACCTGGTTTAGGGCTTTATCCTGTGCAACTGAAATCAGTAGGTGATTTGTCTTTGGTTTTAGAGAGACTATAAACAAGCTAACAGCTATATGCTTCACCTCCATGAATTCCCCACCTAGTGCTAACACATATTGCCCTAGCTTTAGGAAGGAAGAGCTTCTATCTTCTCTCCATCCCACCGATATTTACTGATAAGAAGAAAATATCTGGAGGGAGGGGGAGAGGGCAGAAAGGAAGTAGATGAGGAAGATCTCCTACTGAGACTTATCACTATATTTTTATTGTGGAATACTAGCCAGGTTCACTAATACTTTCCCCTTGGTAATATCTTCCATCCAGGAGGAGAGGAGATACAAACTTTTAAACTAATTTTTAGCCTTACTACATTTGTTTCTGCAGGATGTGTGTGGAAACCAAGGAAAAAATTCTCAGAGTCGGTAGCAGAATGAAAAATGTTCCTCAGGACCTGCAACTCTAATTTCTGAGTGTTGTCTACACTCAGACCTTCATCTCATATGTTATGGTTCATAAATCTTTATTCTAATACAAGCATGTGAAAGTTAAAATTCTTCCTCCTTCAGCTAATAGACTGTAAATCTAAATACATTTTAAAAGCTGGCATTCAGACAAAAAGAAGTACAGACGAATATGTTCTTTTCATCCAAAGGAAGACACAACCTAAATATTGCCTAGAAAACAGTCTCTCTCATTCCTTTCTTTTTTTTGAAAGCATTTTTCATATATACAGCACACTTTGTTCACCATATTGTATTCATTTCTATATGTACCAAAATTTCAGAATAGTTATTATGGAAACATTTTTATTACAATTTACAGCTGAAGAAGAAGGTCATAATTTACAAACTTTGAGGAATTATTATCCAGCTGTGTTTTGGTTCATTTTCAGAAAAGAAGGGATTATGTTTATATATAGAAGTCTTTATATAATTAATGTTAATTTGCACATGTTAATGAAGATGATTATTAACAAAGTATTGTTGCTTTGTTCCTG